ATTTCTGTATGACATATTTGGGGCTGGAGCTGTTAAAGTGGCTTTAGACTCAGATTTGCACATTTTCTAATCTGGTGTCAACATTACAAACACCTCTAACACAACTGGCATTAATTCTTGGCCGCCTCAGCAAAGGGGCCAAGGCAGTGACAGCTGGTACAAAATAAGTGGTGGGGCTGATAATTATATCCTCCCCTTGCCCCACATACAAACAAATATTTCTGACCCCCCCTTCCAATACACAAACAATACAATCATTTCTGATTTCCCTAGTAAAGTCAATAGAATCATAGAAGATTAGAGTTGGAGGAGACCTCAGGAGGTCATCTCGTCCAACCCCCTGCTCAAAGCAGGACCAATCCCCAACTAAATCATCCCAGCCAGGCTGTGTCAAGCCTTAAAAACCTCATCTATCAGCTAAACAATTTGGAACTCCCCCACTTGACACCCACCTCCCAGCCTTTCTTCTGTAGCTTCCACCACTGCTCTACTGCTTTGCCAGGCAGCTCCCCTTCACTCTCCTCCCTGCCTCCCACCTTCTCTAGGTTACAGGTGCCACTGATCCCCTTTTTTCCCAGGTCACAGGCTCCCCTCACTCTGTCTTCCATTCTCCCTTCATTGGGAGGGAGGGGCCTGAGGAGCTAGCAGCCAGCAATCCCACCTGTCCCTCCTTCCCATGGTGCACTATGTGCTACTGCACACTGCCAGGCCTCCCCCTATCTCCTCCTCCCCAAACAACCACAAATCTGATCTAGTCATAAGAACAAAGGACTTCACAGCTGGGAGACAAGAGTAGATTAGCAGACTCAAGCACAGACATGTTATTCTGTAGACTCCTCATTCTACAGCTGCAAGTAAAGGTAAAAAAACCTAAAAAGATTATAAGGTAATCAGTCTAATTCAAAGAGTCTGTAAGAACGATAAGGGAGGGGAAAAAATCTGTCATTTGGGAAGAGTTCAATACAGACAGTTCAGCCAAGGCCAGGGTACAATGGAGACTTGCATGGGTAGAAAAGCAGTGAAAATGTATTGCTACTTCTCGAGCTGGTTGTGAATTTTCTGATGGAATGTTATTCCACTGGAAAATCTCAGTTCATGGTTTGACAAAAGTGTGCAGATTTTGACAAATTTCCATTTAAGAGAGAAAGAGAAAAAAAAATCTGGCATGAAGCATTTCAATAATGTCAGAACAGAACATCCCGACATTTTTGGAACAGAATGTTTTGATTTTTTTTGCTTCAAAAATGAAATTTTGTTTCAAAATTTCTTTTATATTATAAACATTTTTAAAAAATTAAATGCCAAAATCAACATGAAACGGTTTGATTTGATCAGAACAAAGTGTTGCAATTGACCGACAACAAGCATGGAATATTGTTTTGCAGGAAATTTTTGTTTCCGTTTCATTCCTGAACCAAAAGAAATTTCAAACACGTGGAGTTTCCCTTGAACTAGAAAATCCAGCTCCTGCCTTGCTCTGATTGGTGTCATTTTCCCATGTAGTTTGGGGGCATTGGAGTGGGTCAGTTTGTTAGAAGAAAAGTGACTCAGGATATTTCCTAGTCTAAGTTATTTATTTAAAATATGCACAAAAATCTCTGTTTACTTTGAACAGATATGGCAAAAACAGCAGCAAGGCTACACTCGTAATTCCGCTTACATAACCCCCAGCTAAGGCATAGTTGTGTTCAGCTCCATAGCCAGAAATGCTCCTCTAAATCTGTGTCTCTCAGCTTCTCAATTCCAGCAGACAGTCAGAGGGTCCTATACTGCCAATAGGAGTTGTATGAGCAAACAACTGAATTAGTTTTGCGAGAGTGTTTAACAAATTTATGAGTAAGATTGTATGACAGGGTTGCTTGCGACAGCCCCAGGGCTCACTTCTAGTTTATGTCTTTTGTTCCTCAAAGAACATGCTTCAGGGTTTCAGCCAGCCACCTTCGGGGTCAGGTAGTGATCCTCCCACGCAATGTTTTCTGTTGTTTTTTTTTTAACTCTCCTTCCTCTGAAGCATCAGGGTTAGCCACAGCTGGAAATGGGATGTAGGACAGGGAGGGCCAGGGCTCTGAGGTGGCACTAAGTGTTTGTCTCTCGGATGCTTAGCTGGGTGGGTCTTGCTCACGTGATCAGGATCTGATTGCCACATGTGGGGTCAGTAAAGATTTTCCCCCAGGTCAGATTGGCAGTGACTATGGGGTGTTTTTTGCCTGCCTATGCAGCCTGTGGGTACAGGTCGCTTGCCAGGAGTATCTGGGTATATTTCACTTATTCAGTTCCCTGCCATTGCAGAGACCTCGGGCACTGGTGAACCTTGATCCCTCCTATTCCCTAGCTGTGGCACATAATAGCCCAGTCTCCTGTGGGCTGTAATATTTTGGTTGGTGTGAAGGTTCTGGGTGGTGAAGGTGCCCAGTGATATACTGGGTCAGATGATTTGGTGGTTCCTTCTGGCTTTAAACTCTAGGACTCATTTGGGAAACCCCTGAGCCCAAAGTCATATGGCTTTCATTGTTCCTAATACTGAGCATGGGCTAGTTTAAATGGGCTTATTCCATTCTGTTTAGATCACTGTGACATCTGCATAAAGCAATGCATAAAGCAACATTACTGACAGCTGCCACATGAGGTTTCTTCTGCACTGTTTTTCTCAGAGGAAATGTGCATATGATGCCAGGGACATTTTTTATTTTTGGCTTTGTTTTTTTTTCCACGTGATGTGCTCTGTGCCTTTACCTGTGCCCTGTCTGCTGCATAAATGAGTTTTACTCTTGTAGTGGACAAGTCCATTGTACCTGAGGAGTAGAGTAATGGAAAGTGGTCAGGTCCTGATGTTTTAGGTGATCTTTTAGATTTCCTGGGCCCTTTAGTGCCTTGAAGATAAAGCCTGAAATCTTGCTGTGATGCAGTGTTCTATGGATAGCCGGCATAGCATATGGAGGGCAGGACCAACGCACTCATGTTGGTGAAGAACTCTGGTGCTGCATTCTCTACTAGCTGTAATTTCCTGAACACTGGAGCTTTCATGCCAGCTAGATTGCAGAATTGTAGTCCAGGTGGAAGGTGAGGAAGGTGTGAGTTGCCACGGCCATGTCATTGCTCAGTCAGCTAGCTAGCTGGAGGCACTACTGACTGCTCAGTGTCAATGACAATCCAGGAGCATTCCTAAATTTAGGACTGAATTGATAACTTCAGAGCATGTATCTTCAATCAGAGGAGACTGTAACAGGATTATAAGCTCTTCAGAGTGGTTTACTCTGCCTACCAACATAAGGTCAGTCTCACTAGGGTTTAACTTCAATCAGTTCTTCTTCATCCATGATCTGATCTTGGCCAAGCACTGGTCTAGATGACAGTGGTGTACTCGTATGGTGTGAAAGCCAGGCAGAACTGTGTGTCAGCAGCATGTTGTTGGCATTTGTGTCCATGTTGTCAAACTAATTCTAGTCACTGCATGTAGACGTTAAATAAGATTGGAGAGAGATCCCTATGCCATTCTGCATGTGAAGGATCTGATCACTGAGCTGCAAGTTTCCCTCATTACACAGAATTGACAGCAAGGTCACCCTCTTGTGGTGTCTCAGCTCGGTGGGATGGTGCTACAGAAACCTGTGGTTTGATATGTGAGAAGAAGCCTGTTGAATGTCAGGAAGATAATCAGGTTTCAGAGTAGCAGTCGTGTTAGTCTGTATTCGAAAAAAAAAAAAGGAGTACTTGTGGCACCTTAGAGGCTAACAAATTTATTTGAGCATAAGCTTTCGTGAGCTACAGCTCACTTCATCGGATGCTCAAGTACTCCTTTTCTTTTTAGGAAGATAATCAGTCACCTGGAAACTAATGAAAAAGGATATTAAAATAGGTGTCCCACGTTTAAGTCAGTTAACACAGCGCGTGTCACTTTTCACTGGCATAAGTTGGTATTTATACCAATGTGAGGCAATTTTATTAAAAATACATAACACATTAATACTAATCTATTTACATGATGCCTTTCCCCACAAAGGATCCCAGTTCACAGATGCTGCAAATTATATATACAACAATTATTTTACTCATCACTAAAATACAGATGCCTCTAGGTTAGAATGTGGCACTCTTTAGGAGTGCAGAACAATGCTACCCAGTTTTTGGAGGGAAGTGAAGAATACTGTTTATAGTTAAACATGGATAATTTACACAGACAGAAAATAAGTGTGACTCAGCTGAACAGTAACTGAGAACAGAATTTGTTTGGCTCCTTAATCTTGTGAAAAATATAATGGGCTACTTAATGACTACAGGTGATCAAGACTGGTTGTACATATCATCCAAAAGAATGTACCACCACCACCAGAGTGCTCCATAACGTCTTCCTGTAGCATTGGTTCAATAATCACTATGGGCCTGATCCAAAGCCCACCGACATCAATGGAAATACTCGCATCGGCTTCATTTGGCTTTGGATGGGGCCCTTTCGAGGGAGAAGTACTACTTACTGAATCACTAACACTTTAAAATCCTGTGCTGTCCTTGGGGAAGTTTAATCCTTGTTAAATGTTTTACTTTGTCATGGAAAAATTTAACTGTGGCCTTTACTATTTGAGAGCGAAGTGGGACTGATATATGTAATAGTGATACCAAAGTACCAACCCACTTAGATGTAGTATTATCTTCAGTAGGCTTGTTATATGAAATATTTTTTAAAATACTTACCTATTCTGCCGTTGAATCTGACAGTGATCAAACATGGAGCAGCTTTTATTTTTTTTAAATGCTTCTTGGAAATATTTTTCATATTTAGTTCAAGTTTGCGTCTCAATGTGACAGCTACTTTCCCCTAAATATAGGCCATTATTCTTTGGTTATTATTTTATTAGTGTTTATTCGTGATTCTGTAAGAATAGCCTTACTGGAGTGAACTGTCTTTCATGATCTTTCAGCACAGTGTACACTTTTATATTTCCCATATTACTACCCATTCAGGGTGTGATTGTGTTTTAATTAGCAGATTTTCTGTTTTGCAGGAGTGGAACTCATTAGCTTCTCTCAGAAAACAAACCACATCCCAGGAAAAAAAAGTGTTCCACGCAGAATTTATACATGCACTTTAAGGTGGGTAGAAAGCTGGCTAGATTGTCGGGCTCAACGGGTAGTGATCAATGTCTCCATGTCTAGTTGGCAGCCGGTATCAAGTGGAGTGCCCCAAGGGTCGGTCCTGGGGCCGGTTTTGTTCAATATCTTCATAAATGATCTGGAGGATGGTGTGGATTGCACTCTCAGCAAATTTGCGGATGATACTAAACTGGGAGGAGTGGTAGATACGCTGGAGGGGAGGGATAGGATACAGAAGGACCTAGACAAATTGGAGGATTGGGCCAAAAGAAATCTGTTGAGGTTCAATAAGGATAAGTGCAGGGTCCTGCACTTAGGACAGAAGAACCCAATGCACAGCTACAGACTAGGGACTGAATGGCTAGGCAGCAGTTCTGCGGAAAAGGACCTAGAGGTGACAGTGGACGAGAAGCTGGATATGAGTCAGCAGTGTGCCCTTGTTGCCAAGAAGGCCAATGGCATTTTGGGATGTATAAGTAGGGGCATAGCGAGCAGATCGAGGGACGTGATCGTTCCCCTCTATTCGACATTGGTGAGGCCTCATCTGGAGTACTGTGTCCAGTTTTGGGCCCCACACTACAAGAAGGATGTGGATAAATTGGAGAGAGTCCAGCGAAGGGCAACAAAAATGATTAGGGGTCTGGAACACATGACTTATGAGGAGAGGCTGAGGGAGCTGGGATTGTTTAGCCTGCAGAAGAGAAGAATGAGGGGGGATTTGATAGCTGCTTTCAACTACCTGAAAGGGGGTTCCAAAGAGGATGGCTCTAGACTGTTCTCAATGGTAGCAGATGACAGAACGAGGAGTAATGGTCTCAAGTTGCAGTGGGGGAGGTTTAGATTGGATATTAGGAAAAACTTTTTCACTATGAGGGTGGTGAAACACTGGAATGCGTTACCTAGGGAGGTGGTAGAATCTCCTTCCTTAGAGGTTTTTAAGGTCAGGCTTGACAAAGCCCTGGCTGGGATGATTTAACTGGGAATTGGTCCTGCTTCGAGTGGGGGGTTGGACTAGATGACCTTCTGGGGTCCCTTCCAACCCTGATATTCTATGATTCTATGATTCTATGATAAGAAATTCATTCCACAAGTGGAGTAAGACCTTTAAAAGACCTTTATCTACCTCACAGAATAAATTTGATACGGCTTACAAACCATTATGTGAACTCTTCCTCTCTGTGCATGCAGATAAAACACTCTCCTCTCCTAAGTGCTCCTGCCATAATTTCCATTCAGATGGTAACACTGGGGCAGTTTACTGTACTATACTTGTTTATGGTTACATATCAGATTGTAAAATATTAACATTTATTTCGCTTCTTCTAATAATATTTTTCAAAATCTAAGCAGTTTAAAAACATGTTTGTATGAGAAGATCCATTCAGTGGGATTGGACACCTTGCTGGTGGCACTGCTGAGACTGCTTAAAAAGTCCAGTTGAATATATATATATGACAGTACAGGCTACAATGAAAGATGGCTGCACTGTAAGAACTTTTGGTTTATATAGACTTGCTAACTTCTGACATTGGGATGTTTAGCTTTATATGTGTGAAGCATTGCTTTGGTCAGTTTATAATAGCTTGAAAGGTGAAAGATTTTGGCAGTCTGGCACAGCAGCATTCAGAAGTGGACACAATATTGGCAAATGGAAAGATCATTAAAAGATGCATTGCAAGCTTAAAATCCTTAGGCCCCGACTTTCCAATATGTCTGCACCATGCAGGGGCTCAGGAACAGCCTGATTCAGAGCCACCTGGCCCTGGCACAAGTTAGGGTTGTCCCTAAGCAACACTAACTTACACTACTGGCACAAGTCTTCAAAGACCTTATGTCAGCAGGGGCGTGCACAAGAGAGGGCGAGGAGGGGCACCGGCCTTCCCCAATAATTGACAGGGTCACAGAGCAGAGCTCCTCCAGCCCTGGGGCCACCATGGCTGGCAGAGGTGTCACCTCCCGCCAAAGGAACTCTGCTCTCCCCACACGGCCAGAGGAGCTCTGCACTCTCCCTTTTTTTGCTATAATGAAACTCTGGCTATCACAGCCGAATGGCTTGGATCACCAGGGGTTCATTATAGCGAGGGTGTGCTGTGTTTCCTCATAAAATCATGTGTTTAACATGCCCCTCTAAAAGTGGTCAAATTTAAATTCCTGTGCCCACCTCCATCTGTCAGTGAAAGATCGGACATAGTGGAGACCTGCTCCATCACATCCTCTCCCCTCTCTGCCCTGCCAATGACCGACCCCCTGACATGACACTCAATCTCCTTCCTCTTGCCAGTGGTGGTGGTATTACAACGGGACAGAAAGTGACAGAGCCACATTTATTTCAGGGAGGAGATTCCTGAGTAGAAGGGCAACTGACACATTTTGTGGTACATACGGTGCAAAGCAGCCTTTGCAAAATAGAGAAACCTGCCCATATATTGTTCACATAAAAACACCTACAGCATTCAGCCTACCCAGTAATGATCAGCAGACAGTTTAATAGGAAAGAGCTGGAAACATAAGCTGAGAATCCTATACATTTTGTAGACTTCGTAGCTGTGCTGGCCCAGTGGAAAGGAAATTAAATAAATGTGCAATTGTTAAAATTCAAACTTTTAAAAAACTGTGTGTATTAATTATTTTCGACAGAATGAAAATCTTTGCTAAAATAACAAAATATTAAGGGAGTGATTCTCTAGTGTGTGACTCCACTTTTATGCCCAGGTAACTTGTTTGACGTCAAAGTAGTTACACCAATTTTTGTTGCATTTTGCTTAGCCAGTTAAATCCACAGGCATGTGTTAAGAAAAAAAATACACATTCTATGGTGTATGCTTCCCAGCTGTGTGTAATGTTGGCTTCAGTCTCAAATAAACATATTGTATACACCTCAGAAACCTATCACTTAATACACAGACAGCTTAAGATTGTTGACTTGAAATTCAGAAGAGGATTAATTATCCTCCATTTCTTTAAGACTGGCATCTTAATTGTAGCTGGGAAAGGCAGGTTGGCTTTGAGGAAAGTTAATTTTGTTCATTTGTCATTGACAATATCACCTGCTGAGCTAAAATGTTGTTGAGGACAGACAAACTGGAGGGAGGGCACCAAATATAATGCCCACAGTACCAAGTGCTGGTTAAGTGTTTTTCTGATCCAGCAGTAGGGGGAAAGTGTTGCCTTGCATCTGACTATTTAAGCAAACAGGAAATGTTGTGAGAAACATTCTTCTTAGAGTATTTCCGTTTGGGAATAATGTGATAAAGCTTTTTTTTCCTGTGTTATTTCCAACTGGAAATACGATGAGGAGGCATGTTTCTCATTATATTTCCTATTTGCTCAAGTACATGCCCGCGCCGGGGGAGCCGTTGAATCAAAAAGCAGGCAATGCCTTGGAGTTTTGATGCAGGCAGGCAGGCAGGTGAGAGAGAATTCAGTCTCTCTTTTTTTTTTTTTTCCAAATTGGTCCAAACCTTGGTTCAAAATGAAAATGGAATTATGGCTTGGCAGGCTTCCACAATGGTTAACTCATCCATGCTGACAACAACCCTGCAGCTAACTGACCTAACTCAGAATCCCACATGCTTTCCGGCATTAGTTATTAAGATTCTATGGATTGGCAAGACCAGGACTGATGGCTGCAACCTATTCTTTCCATAGAAATCTGCTGATACCTTGAATATGTCTCTTTGCTCTTTTGTTTCTTCTCCACTGCCTGTGCAATCAGCATTGTTTCCCTTTTGAAACCAATATGTACTGTACAAAGTCATTTTATCTTTGCACCGTGTGAAAGACGACGTACATCATTGCTTTTTTTTTTTTTTTTTTTTTTTTTTGCTATTTGTCAGAGAGCCAGGGCCAGACCAAATCCTACATACACCACGTAAGTCTTACAAAATAGGGCTGAAATGGGACTTAAATGGCGCATAAGCCTTGTGCTGACACTCTGTGAATGAGCTGCTCTCAACAGAGCTAACACCAGAAAAAGAAAGAATGTGATGCTGCCTGTAATGTGGTTTCCTGTCAGTCCCATTTCTCCATGCCCCCCCCCTTCCATTTAAGCATTCTATTTTGGCACAACTCAGGATGTGTGATTGAGTGTAAGAAGCAAATGGTGTCAATTAAGCATCAATACAATGAAGGAGCAACTCCCTGCAGAAAAGGTGGTATTTATTCGTGCTTGCCATCAAAATCCATTCTTCTTGGCACATATGCTTGAGTGGGGCAACTACGTTTCCTAGTGAGCAGGCAAAATGTCATCCCAACACATGGCCATGAGTGCAGGCAGCCAAGAGCTCAGTTACTGTGTGAACAGTAAGTGTATTTGATGGCAAGATTTCTAACTAGAAATGTCAAAATTGCTGTCCATCCTGAGCCTTTGTGTCTATAGTTAGAGGGATGTATGCCTTTATCACTTCAGCTCATATCTGGATTAACTTCAAAAATAAAATAGGCTTTCACTGCCACAGAAGGCAAGTTTTTAGCTCTGTTTAATCAGGATTTGTGTTTGGGGGGGAGAGGGGCGCAGAATGCTCTGTTTTATGAAGATCATTAAACAATTTCTGTGTCATAAGGGCTTTAATGTGATATCTTTTTTTATGGTGATGATAATGTTTGGCGCTTGTAATGGATTTTTCAGTTTCTCTCTCTCGCACTCCCTAGTGATGTACAGAGCAAAGTTATTAAACCTGTAGAATGGAGAGTTCTTATCCACATTTTATTTTCAGTAGCTATATGCTGATCTGTTTTATCCCCAAAGCATTTTACTTGGACATCATTTTAACATTTGCATTTTCTTTGCCAGCGACTTTGTTACAACAACAACAACATCTTTACAAAAGGGTAAGCATTATCCCCACTTTACAGATGGGGACACTGAGGCACAAGAAGACTTGTGACTTGCCCAAGCCAATTTGTGGCAGAGATGGCAATAGAACCCATGCCACTTTGCTCTCAGTACTCTGCTATGATTCATTCTTTAATTGAAATGGACAGATAAAATGTTGAGAAAT